GGGTATAAATGTCGAGAGAGAGCACTTATTGAAAGAGCAAATACATGAAAATTGTGATCTACTGATCGATGATCTTTTCGGTTTATTGCAACCCTGTGATGAATTTTAGTCCTCACTTTTAGGAAATCTGCCACCGATCAGGCATTTTCTCACGTTGTTCCCTCCAGCTTCACAAGTGACGGTGAGTCAAGCCATAGGGTATTTATTTAGGTGCCTTATTAAGACCCGTGACGGTGCAAACGTTTTTGAGCCCGCTTTTGAAACCCTTCTCATTGATTTTTTGACTGCTTTTTCATTCCATGAAACAATGCGTTCTCTGCAACGCAAGCGGTTGCGGTGCCGATAGCTGCACACTGCATCCCCGAGAAGTGGTAGGCGTGGCTGGGCACCTCATTCGAACATGGCAGAAGATTGGCTACTCGTTTTTAGTTTGGAACAACTGTCATCCTGTCTGAGATTGGACTCAGACATGATTACAATTGTCCCTAAAGGTCAATATCCCACCAAAAGCGCAAACGCTGCAATACTCAATTTAAATAGGCAGCCACGCCCACCTCATCTTCTGGGATATCAGGGCTATTCATTGCGCGCTTCGCCGAAAATATGTAATGTTCAACTTGTTGCAAAATTTTTCCTAGCCCCTTTGAGTGCGTAGAGCTCCAACAGAAGTTATGCCGCGCTAATGCAATGCGCATCAGATTGCAGCGCGCCTGCAACCGCGCGCGTCGCAAGGCTTCATTGCACCAGAGGCGATCATTTTGTAAAGTAGCGTCTTTCTAACTGAGAGCACTGCCGTTGCAATGGGCCTTTCTGCAAACTGCCAGCGTTCTGAAGCTCCTATGTAAGAAATGCGTAATAGTAGGAAGGGCTGAGAAATCGACAATGCGAAAAATCGATAGAAACGTGAAAAGTTGTTTCAGCGAACTCTCATCGTCCGTTCCGAGAAGATGAGTCGCAACGACGCATGACCACAACTCATGCGACCACCACTATTGAAGTCCAGTCAGTGCCGCCAACGGCTTCAGGACCAACACATCGAGGAAAGAAGAACAAATTGCATCGGTAAAATTTCGAAATATTCTGAAATATTCAAATCGGTAGACTGAGCTTCTGAAAAAAGTTCAATTATTATATAGCAGTAAGCGCGAGCGCCTCATCGGCCTTCAGCGCTTCAGCTCTTTTTGACGGCTACTCTGGGATCCAAAGGTTATTTTCAGAAAAATTGATTCGGAAAGGACATCTCTCCCAAATGAGATCATAAAAGCAAAAAGTAAAGTAAGAGTGATTGAAAATTGCTGAGAGAATGGACAACAGAAGTACAGAGTCGGCAACAAGCCCTATCGAGAGGGTTTCATGGGGCGCTTCAAAAATGGAGCCAGAAAAAAATACGTGACTAAC